GCAGATCCAACAGAATCCACCTGGAGCAGATGGCTTGTTGATGATACAAGCTCTGGCATCCACTTTTGACAGTGGTGAAGAGGTTTTGCATGCATGCAAGGTGAAAACAAATATAGCAGAGTGCTATCCACTGATCACAACCATATCAACACATACACAACACTTCTTAGTTCATTGGAGGGATTATAATGTGATAGAGTAACTATAGCAAATACAATCAAATGATGTATTCTGAGCAGTGTGTTATCAAGGCTGTTGTAAGTCAGGCTTAAGAGGGAAGTGGTATAGAATAAACTTTAGCTCAAAGCTGATCTTACTATAGCAAAAGCTACACTACTTATATAGGTTTTTGTGACTGATAAATATAGTTCTTACTTATTATATGTTTCTGTACTATAGTGCCATTGTGTCTGATCATTGAGGGTGAGACAATGGGGTATTGTTTGTTGATGAGACATCTGTTGTATGATATGAGATAATAGTATGAGCAGCCTGATGTAACTATGATAATTGTCTCACAATCAGCAAGTGCCCTGGATAAGATAGATGCTCTGATTAGATAGGATAAGAGATTAGATACAACAAAAGATAAGAGATCAGAAAAATTATAACATTACTCCTCTGTTAAGACCATCATTCCAATGGCTAATACTAAGAGGAGGAGTCATTGTATCAGTCATGATAGGTGGTGATAGCATCATCAGTAGTGATGCAATGTTTATTGACCCACTTGTTAGACTCTAGTCCATAATTCTTTCACTTGACAAGATGCTCTATGGTTATGGAAGGTCCATGTCTATGACAGCTGTGAGTTCTGCATAGATGGGAGTCCAGTATGGCTTTGACTTCATATGATTCTTCATGATCAATGAGATCAGGTTCTGGCAGTGGGGGTTATTCCTGGTTCAGGAATGTGGGCAGTATATAGGGGGGAAGGAGTGTTTCATTGAAGATGAGGTGGATCTTCCAGATTGCAGAGAGGGTCAATCAATAGGAGGAGGCCCCAAGTTTTGTGGTAATAACAAAGGAGTCAGTGCACTTATCAGTGAGCTTCTTCTTCAGACATGGAAGGTGCAGGTTAGTTGTGTCTAATCACATTCAGTCTCTGACTGTGTACAAAACAGTGGAGCATCAGTGTTTGTTGTATTGGCATTTCATAGCAGTGGTAGCCTTTTTTAGGGCAGATTTGATTTTTTCATGGATCTTAGTCATTTGATCTATGAAGCTTGCAGAGGTGGGTGTTAAGATAATGTGACATGAGGAGCTAGTAACAGAGGGGTGTCATCTGTAGTTGACAAAGAATGATGTTTTTCCAATCACAGAATGCATCTAGTTATTGTGTTAGAAGATAGTGAGAGAGAGTCAGTTAGCTCAGTCATCCTGTTGATGATTGATGAATATCCTAAGATACTTTTCTATCTCTCAGTTGACTCACTCCATCTGTCTATCCATCTGTGGGTGATAGGCAGTTGAGGCATTGCTTTAGATCTAAAAGAGGTGATAGAGATCCATCATAAATTTGAAAACAAACTGTGGTTCCCAATCTGAAATTACCATCTTTGGTATACTATATTTAGCATATACTTCATCTTGCAGGATTTTTGCCCATCCTTCTGATGATAGCTCTATTGAGCATGTAACCAGTATGATTGCCTTCAAGAAGCAGTTGACTATGATGATGGCATCATAGCCTTGGCACTCTGGAAGACCAGTGATCATATCTATAGATATGTGTGTCCATGGTGTCCTGGGTATCTTGTTTGGGTGTAATGGAGCTGCCTTTGCCTGAGTGTGCTGACAGGTTTCACAGGCCTTTACATACCTCTTAAATTCTACATCTATCACCAATATATTGAACTCAGATGTTTCAAGTATAATAGAAGTACTCTGCAGACTCAATAATTAAGAGAGTGGTATTTAAAAGATATTTATTTGTTACTAGTGAGCTATACAAAGGTATCACTTATACTAGCAGGGTAAGATATGATTATAATAAAAGTGACTTGGGTTTTGAGCTGCTGCACTCACTGACTGGAGCTATTCTGAAGATTATTGGCACTCTTGGCTGAAACCAGTTCCTAAAAGTGGATAAACACTTGACTAATTGCACTCTAGGCAAACTAGTGGTGCTCTTGGCCTAAGAATAATACTATAACTGTGAGTAACTTGCTTGACTAACTTTGAAGGACACTCTTGGTTGTTCTAGACACAATAGTATTCTCAAATCAGGCTTCAATTCACTCAATTCTAAGGTAGACTTAGCAACTAACATTGCTTTACTGAGGTTGAAGCACAAAAGCCTTTAATTGGGATACTAGATACTATTAGCAGGTCTCAATTGTGAGAATGGCTTGCCTATCACATGCTGTCTTACACTACTAGCTAAATGCAATCTACAAAAGGTACTATAAGCCATAAATAGTTATACAAGAGGGGTATTATTAGTAAGATTCCTCAGACTAGTCATGCTTTATGATGAATAATTATGCAATAATGTTTCTAGAGGTGGTTGCATGCCTACTAACAGGTCCAGGAGCTCTGGCTGTGGCCCCATTCCATCCTTTGGACTCTGCAGCATCTCATTACTATCAAGGGTATTTGACTAGCCAGGCAGGCCCACCTGCAATAGCTGTTGATTGTAATCAGAGGAATAGTCTGGATGCACTAGTCAGATCTAGCCTCTGGCCCAATGCTCTACTGATTCAGTTCTAAGTCCTGTTTCAAGTTTGTTATGCTGCTAGCAATTTGAACTTAGGTATTTCATGCCCAGACTGGTGCACTAGTGATTTTGTTTCATGAGTCCTGTTCCTTCTGCCTCTGGTTGGATGTGCTAGTGGTCTCCCTCACCTACTAGTGACTGTATCCTGACAGTCCTAGCTGACTTTGGGTTACTGGTATGGCTGGCTGGTAGACTTGACTCACTAGTGATATTACATCTAAGTCCTAGCTCTACTGGTTGACTACTGCTTTGACTATCAGCTTGAGGCCTCAACTATAGTCCTATTGTCTCTACTGGTATAGAGCAGATCTGCAATAGTATCAATGTCATAAAATTGCAAAATCAAGATGTGAATGCATAGATAGCATATCACCAGTGGCACTCATAGAAACAGCAAGAAAGGATAGTAGCAAAGAGGAGGTCATCATATGATCCTGAGATGTTAGTGAGAAGACAGAAGGTGATTAAATGAGGTAGTTGGAGGGGTAGTTTTTGAGAAGTGGAATCACCTTTCATTTTCTTTGAGCTATGGATAGTTGCTTGCACCATAGGGTGTCTCCAATTTGTGTCAAAGTCAGGATAAAGGTCTTTTAGAAGGTGACAGACTCCAGTTCAGTATTTGGGACTGGATGTGATGAATTGAGATAATGTATCTGCTGAGTGTAAGTGCTATAGGTTTGAGTGGCAATGCATAAGCGATGCAAAATTATATGTAATTGTATGCTCCTGTTGCATATCCTTTCACTGCCCAAAGTCATCCCTTTTCAATCGCAGCAAGTGATCATTATGATAGCGTCGAAGGAAAATTCTCTGTTTGTAAGCAGGGAAGCAGGGCTCGTGATACGGAAAGCAGTCCCCTTATTCCGTCGACAGAGCGGAATGAGTGCTCGACGCACAAGGCTGTTTCATTTATCATTCGGCCTTATGGTGGAATGACTCGGTCCCTGTACGAACGCTTCGAGGCCAAGGCGAACGTCGATAGATCGATTCCTATAAAGGTTTATATGGAAGGTCCATATGGACACGAGCACGACCTGAGGGAATATACTTCTGTTTTGTTGTTAGCAGGCGGTGTTGGGATCAGCTTCACGCTTCCT